AGAAATTCCTTGAAAGATTTGCCTTTCTTTCCATTGAAAGTCAAAGAATTTTGTTTGCCCGGGTACCAAGTCATAATAAAATCAGAGCTTAAGTTTATAAACTGTTTGGCTTTACCGCCAGGCGACGTCCATTTACCCGTTAATCCGACAACATTTTCGGCAAAAATCCTTAACGAACAGAGGTCGTTTGTCCACTTGAGACGGATCCCATCATAAACTAGATGACCTTGATTGTTTAACAACTTTATGGAGTTCATATCAATAGTTTCAGGACTAAAATTTTCAAGTTTAGTTGAGGCCATAATTAAACCATCCGCCGCCATGTTGTTAATGTTATTTATACCAGATGAGGATATAAGTTTCCATGTTGACAGATAACTTCAACGTAAAATCAATTCAAGATAAAAAAATCAAGATAGTTTTGATGCCAAAATCAGGCAAAATGGCAAACACAATACAAAATATAAACACCTGAATAACAAGAGGCCAAACCATGCTCATTCGCAGGTTAGATGGCGGACACGACCTAACCTAATCGTAGATTGGCTGAAATTATATAAGCTCGTCGCTGAATGGCTATGTGTGCTAACTTACGGTAACATTAACAGCCACGGTCACCGTGGTACGTTTGCGATAGCAATATATCTGCGATAGCAATATAACTTAAATATACAGTAGCTACGGGAAAATACAGCACTACCGAAGTTCTGGGATGATAGCCTTAGCAGTTGTGATGCTCCCAGAAATATATATGTCGATTTATTTGTGAGACGAAAGGGATTAGAACACACTAGCGAGGATCGCCGATGACAACCTAGTTCGCAGTTGTGTGAGGCTCTCAAATACGTCGATGTATTTTGTGTATTTGTCATTTTGAACTCCGCGGCAACTTATTCTCAATGACCGATTAATATAAGGTGCATATGTTAATGGTATGTTGGGAAGTTGGTTGTTAATGATATTGGGTTAGGTAGCAGATTTTAAGGAAACAAAGGCAAAAACTCATTATATGGGTCATTAACCGCTCAAAAGCTTGTCATCCTCATTAAATATGTGGCTAAACGAACTCAAGTTGAAAACACTGGTTTATTTCCACAGGAACAAATACTGCAACTACGCTGAATTAATTTGTCTTATGATTCCTCGGGTGGAACTAATTAAAAACGACAAAGAAAAATTCCGCTCCGCGCGCAAAACTCCGCCTAGTGGAAACTGGCTTAAGTTGAGGAATTGTTTGCTGTCATGTAAATTTTAGGTAACCATAAGCCACAAGCCCACGCGTCAGGAATTTCAGCGTTGACGCTCATTAAGCCTGCCGCACACGAGAGCTATCTGCTCAGCAAAAATTACTCGTGCCTGTTAGCTCAGCTGATAGCTCACCGATCAAACATGTTTGATACGTGAGAAAAGGTTGCATGAGGCAAAAAACTCAGTAAAATGTACCCGCACACGGTGAGCTATCGGCTGAGCTAACAGGCACGAGTAACTTTTTGCTCAGCAGATAGCTCTCGTGTGCGGCAGGCTTTATCAAAGTTTTGCCACGGTACTGCTCAATATTTTTTTATTCAAAGTTTTTAAACGCCGTCATTATAATATCTTCTTGAGACTAAGATTTCTTATGGATTTGGAAAATACGTTTATAAGAGACTCAATTTGTTTGAGAGGTGGCTAAATTTCCTAGGAAATATATCCACTTGAATGACCAAATTTCGTACGAAATATATTCAGCTGGGGGGGGGGGGGCTTCGGAGAGAGAAGGAATTCCAGGTGTACCGACGTAAATTCATTAACAATACACCTTGATGCGGTCAAACATTCGAAATTCATCATGAGTGTTTTGTGTGTCTTTATTACGTTATTTTCTCGATTTTTCCTTGTGGTTTCAACCGAGGATGTGCTTTGTCCACGTGGAGCTCCGTCTGGGTGTAGATGCGGTACGACCCTGGGTGAAACGAGCATCGAATGTAAAAACAAATATACTATTAATGACATACCGTCATGGATACCGCACAACATAAATCAACTGGAGTTTGAAAATTGTGATATTCGGATTCTAAATCTGGACTCTTTCAAGAATCTGGCGAATCTAACTGGTATAAAAATAATTAAGCAAAATAGTGGTCTTACTTTTAACGATAGTTTGGTTTTTCAAGGCTTGAATCGTCTGTCTTTAATCGATTTTGATGACGCTCATATTACTTCGCTCCCAGCTGGCTTGTTTGCCAATCTCCCACGATTGGCTTTGGTTCGGCTTAACAAAAACCGCGTTGGAACTTTGCCTGATGATTTGTTTGAAAACTCAACAAACGTGGAATATTTTCAGATGGCGAACACACAATTACATCGAGATATCATTGCTAAGATAGGCGAAGGACATTTCGGTAAAAATATTAAGAGTTTGTTGCTCAGTGGCAACTACGTTCAACTTCTGAAGGATGGCTTATTCAATGGCCTACCAAAACTGGAGAAGTTAGCAATGAATGATTGTAAGATAAACTATATCGGACAAGATATATTGAATGGAACTCAAGTTACTCACGTGAACCTTGATGGAAATCCAATCCTTTCCATTTATGAGAATGCTTTCCGTGATTCCAAAGTGAGCACATTTGAATGTAATGGATGTCAACTCACATCTCGTGTTACATTTAATGGATTTCTGAAGAAAATGCCTCTGCGTGTGATCCGGCTACGGAATAACAGTCTCACTCATGTTCCAGAAAATGCTTTTCGTGGACTGACAAAACTGTTTCTAATTGACCTATCGAATAACTCAATTGCAACAATCGAAGAAAATCCGTATGCCAACCTACCAAATTGCTACGATTCCATCTGCATACAGCTTCGTAACAACCCACTCAACTGTGACTGCAACCTGGCGTGGTTTCGAACCTTTGCCAATGACATTAAAGGTGACAGAACATTGTGGAAATGTGCTCGACCGCGGAGCGTGAATGGAAAAAGCTTGGTATCAATCAAAATCGACGAGTTTTGTTGTGAAAATGCAAACTCTACAAAGAAGTGTGGTTCTGTCCCGGATCCTAACAATGGATGGGTTGTTTCCGTTCATATGATGGTAGCTATCTTAATAAATATTAATAATTTAATAAAAATACCGATTTGTAACCTATTAGGTTAAATTACATCAGTAAAAAGTCTCATTATACTACAATAGAATATCTAGATGCATAAAATTATTCATAACTTCAGTTGAAAAAGTTATAGAGTTCAAATTTAAAAATATTAAAAATATTAAAATTATGGTCTATTCATATGTGAAACCATCTGTGGAAAAAACGATTTCATAAATCTGTCCGTTTTACAACTATAGTTATTATAATCGCTTCCATAACGTGCATTATAGTTGTGTTCAAGTTTAGGCGGTAAGAGGTCACCCAATTTGTCTCCATGTGCATTTTTAACAAAAAAACGTTCGCATATTAATCGCCGCCGATCTTTCAGTAAGGGTATACCAGTAATACTGCAAGCTTCTCTATAAGTAGCGAATGGCAAGACAATACGCAGAGCCCACTTCTGGAGTTTTTCGATATCTTCACTTAGGTATTCTGTAATATTGAAGTGCCAAACTTGGCAGGCATATTCGAGTACTGGTCTGATAATGGTGCAGTATACCAAAATTAGAATGCTATTGTCGGCATTTGATCGTTTTAACAACCTTAGCATATAAAGGCGTTTCCCCGCTTTTTTAAGAATATGGTTCACATGCTCGTTCCATTTCAAATCATCTTGGATTGAGAGACCAAGAATTCGGGCAGATTTTACCCGTTCAATACCAACGTTATTTATAGTTAACGGTAAAAACTCATGTTTTTCTCTTGCAAAGTCAATTACCATTTCCTTACATTTGCCGATGTTGAGCTTCATATTATTAACTTCACACCAATTATAGATAACATTCACTAGATCTTGTAGTTCACTACTCTCAGTTGATGTAACTCGTTCAGCAAAACGTACTGTCATCAACATACTTCCATCTATCGCTCCAATCAATAAGAAGATCATTTATCATAACAAGGAACAAAGCCGGCCCTAACACCGACCCTTGCGGCACTCCACCGTTTAACGTTTGCCAGTCCGAATGACAGTTAGCCAACTTGACTCGTTGTTTACGATCAGAGAGAAAACTTCTAATCCAATTTATAATGGTTTGGGAAACACTCATTTGTTGTAGCTTATTCACCAGTATGCTGTGATCTATTCGATCAAAAGCTTTTTCAAAATCAAGCAAGAATACTCTCACCGCATTGCTTGAAGCATCTGTAGCACTCAGGAGGTGATGGATCAGGCTCAGTAGGGCATGGGTAGCCGAGGAATTTTTAACGGAGCCAAACTGCCGCGTATCAATCTTTGCACCAATTGACTTAAGTAACCAGTCTGTAACAAACCGTTCGCAAATTTTGGATAAAGTGGGGGTAAGTGAGATAGGGCGCAAATCTTTAGAAATGTCTTTAGGAACTGATTTTTTTGGAACAGGGATAACGTTCGCTTTTTTCCACATTGAGGGTACAACTGCTTCTTGAATCGAAGCGTTGAAAATCGATGCCACAGGGGAAGAAAGAACGTATGCATAAGATTTAAGCACCCAATTAGGTATTCCATCAGGACCAGGTGATTTGGAAACGGGGATGGCGGACAATTTACAGTATACATCTTTTTCTTCGATAATAAACTGTGGAAGGATACTTGTACTGCCATTTTCAATTAGGTCATCAACTGGAGACTTATTCAAGGGAGGAATATCTTGGGTAGATGAGACAAAAACATCATTGATTTTATCTGCTAACTCTTTACCAGCAAAAACCTGGTTGTTTACAACGAAATTAGAGAATGTTTTGTTCTTGGCGCCGCAAGCTGTTTTATACATTGCCACCATTTTTTAGCATTGGGGTTTAGTTTTAACTCATCCATCTTTTTCTTAAGGAAGGTTGACTTGAGTCTCTTACTTTCTCTATTGGCAAGATTTCTCAATCTACGATATAGCAAACTTTTGCCCTGACGGAACGCTCTTTGTCTATTTTCTATAATTTTCTTAAATTCGACTGTAACCCATGGTTTATCATGATCGTGCAACTTTACAATTTTACTAGGGAAAAAACAGTCCAAACCAGTATTTATAACTGTTTGAAAAAAATCTAACTTTTGTTCACATGATTCAGCGCGGTACAAGTTGTTCCAGTTTATAATTGCTACCTTGTCTAGTTTTCACTTTTGAGGTACCACATTTAGCTGTATTTTTATTAAAGGACCACAGTACGGAGTTATGGTCACTTTGGCCAACAGGGGGTAATAACACCCGAGAGTTACAACAGGAAGACATATTTGTCAAAATTAAGTCCAATGTGGAATTTCCTCTTGTGGGTTCTTTAACTATCTGTTTCAAAGTAAAATGACGTAGTAAGGAGGAAATTGGGCATTTATTAAAGTCTCCAATGAGAAAAATACCAGCGTTGGGGTACAATACAAGAGCAGCGTCAAGTTTAGATGTTAGGTGATTGATTAAGGCACAGTTATCATTGGAGGGAGGGTGATAGACCACACAGATAATCAGGCAGGAAAAGCCACGGAAAAGTTTATTTGGTCTCAGGTAAAGCCAAAGTGATTCAAAATTGTCTTCATGCAAATCTGTTAAGATTTTAAAAGGAATCTGGTCTTTAATATAAGCACAAACGCCACCCCCAATTCTTGAAATTCTATCACGCCGAACTAAGGAAAAGCCACTAATTTCAACGGCACCGTCATCAATATTTTCATTTAGCCATGTCTCAGTTATAAAGGCCAACCCAACCTCATTCATATGCAAAATAGTTTTCAGTTCATCAATCTTAGGTAAAAGTGATCGAGAGTTCGCTTGAAAGAAAGTTAATAACTTTCGCGGAAGGCGAAGGGAAACGGAGGTTGGACAGGGATTTCCATTAAGGTTTTCGGGCAATGTTGAAAAAACCGAGCAAACTGGGAGTAACTTTGAGGACTTCGGTTGACACTCATTCCGTGTATTCTTAAATGTGGGACCATAGGAGGACGATGGTAAGGATGGTAAGAGAAAAATGGTGGGTTGGGATGGTTATTAACAGGCCGTGATGCCGTTCTGTTATGATTGGTACTGTAGGAAAAATCACACCCGCTACCCTTTAAGCAATAACCTCGATTTTGCAAAAAAGGACAGGGCACGAAATGTTTTTGTTCACCACGTGGATGTTTAAAATCGCAACGCCTTCCCTTTGCACACCACCCTCGACGCTTAAGAAATGGGCAGGGTATAGTGCCTTTTCCAGTATTATTATCTTCTTTTTCGGGTTGTGATTTTAGGGGCTTCGAGGTTCTATTCACTAATGTACCAGTATCTTTTTTCTGTTTACTCGGTACTAGTATTTGCTTTGAAGGCGACTCATTAATATTCCCTAGGTCAATGTCATTAGTATTCGGGTCATTGGGTTGTTGACTCAGGTTACTAAGGTCGATATTACTAGTATTCACCTCAGTGGCTTGTTGTCTAACATGTAATGGGATTTGATTTTGTTCCTGAGGTGTGCGTGTTCCAACAACGTTAAAGCTCGAATTCGATAATGAGCCCAGTTCGCTACATACCTTTTGTATAAATTGTTAAAGCGATCACATAATAGAAATAAACTAATCAGAGTAATATGTGAATCACAAGGCAGGATTCATTAACGAAGAATAGGATAGGTGAAATAGAGCATTGGTAGAAGAGATATATGTAATTTAAAACAAGTATGATGCAATGAGGGATGTAGAAGTACTGTCAATGACTGCTGATGTCGTGCGTAGAATAGAATAAAGCTAGGTATACAGTAAGCAAAACTATCGTTAATATTATAACGCCCTCTCGGTCTATACTGTGGAACAGCGGTTTAACAATTAACGAAAGTTACGATCTAGATCGATCTAGCGCTTTCCGCTAGGCGGGAAAAACGTTTTTGACGATTGTCTTTTATACTCTACAATAATATACTAGCGATTCCCAGCAGCCTTTCGCGCTCGTATTCGACTTTTCCGCTTTGCTCGGGGACAACCTTAATTGAAATAGCTGTATACATTATTGTGTCTATTTTCTCTTTTATATTAGCACACAAGCCCCGTTAGTCGTACTGTCGTCTTATATCGAGATTTTGTTATATTTAGTAGTTTTAAATGTATGTATTTTATAGTTTTACTATCGACGTGCTGACTTTTGGTGTCCTTGTTGCGCACAGTTACAGCGCCCTCTTTAAATAAAAAGCTGCGACCGCTACAGTCAAAGACTAAATTGCACAAAACCTGTGTTTCTTGAGTAAACATAATCCAAAATATATGCAAACAAATTTGTGTGATCATGAGTCGCTCTCTCCCAAACGTCAGGGTCGCCCTGGAAAAGGAAAAACATTTCGCATTGAGTTAGTACATTTGAAATAATAATACATTCTTCTCTCGACCCCGATAAAATTAAACAAGGCATTACAGCTATCACAGCCGCTGTAGCCTGCGTGTCAGGCTCTATGCTTGAAATAAAGCCTGCTACTGAAGTTAATAAAAAGTGGATTTATGCGTACGAATCGTACGCAAAATTCCCATTGGTCAGAAATAAATAGCCTTGGCTGATAAGGTAATATCAAGTTGTTCTTTACATAATATGATATTCCATACTGGTAATTGTACTTTTGTCCGCATTAATTACTGCCTTTGCTGTCTATAAAAGACAGTCAATAACCGTTATTATTATTTAGTATGTAATTCCTGGCCGTTTAATGAAAATTGGAATATTTATTTTCGAGATATTGGCGGAAAAATCGACCGTTAATTATTGTCATATTTTAAATTAGCTTTGATAATCTAATTAGCAATCGCCGTTTTGATTGGTTGTTATTTTCGTGCATCCAAATGACTGTCCACTTTTCATCGAATTCAGTAGCAGGCTCTATTTCAAGTATACAGCCTGACACCCAGGCTACAGCCGCTGTAGATAGTGTTATTTTGAGTTTTAATGATGAATGGATTTCCCTATTGCAAGATCCTATGCAAATTCAACACGCCAGTTATCGACAATAAAATTTAATTGAGACCTGGGAAAAGGTTTACCAGTTGGCCTGGGACCGACTGCGACAAATCGAAAACGTAGAAGTTGAGTCACTAATATTCCAGAAAACCAAAATATCACAAAGGTCACAAGCATCTCGTAAATCATCAACCAGTTTGGCTTCCTATGAGGAAAATCTTGTCGAAATGCAAGCGAAAAAAGCTGCACTACAAGGGAAGTCGAAATTTGCTGTTAAGATTGCGGAACAACAGCAGAAGTTGAAAATTGAACAAGATCCGAAGCAATTTATGCCCAAGAAGCTATATACCAGAATGCAATTGCTGAAGAAGTTAATGCTGCAACAAATTATTTTAACCCTCATCTATCCAGCGCCAGTCATGGTAATCTTGACACCCATGATGATAATAACAAGGAGACAACAGAGAAGAATGGAGTAACACCTTCCTGCTTGAACTCAGAAACCATGCCACCAACCCAACGAAATGTCAGTGAGAGAATCAAGCCAATCGACAGCAATATTAGCCCCCTGTGCTTCGAAAGGTTTCGCCAGAAACCCACAAATGTTTATCCCTTACAGGACACAAGAACAAGGTAACTCAGTCGAGTTGTGCGAAGCTTTCATCAAAATGAGCCAACTGCTACGACTTCCTCAGGCAAAACCAAGCATCTTCAAAGGAGACGAAGAGGACAAAACAAAATTTTTCCTATGGCAAACTGTATTTGATGCCTTGATCGGATCAGCACCAGTTACACCAGGACAGAAGTTACATCTCCTATACCAGTATTTAGATGGTAGAGCGAAGAGTACAGTTGAGCAACTCCAGTATATGGTTCGAGATCCAGACACAGCGTACCAACGAGCACGAAGCATTCTTAAAGATCGGTTTGGTAATAATGCAATTCGTGGAGCACATTTTGAGAGGAGATTAAGTGCTTGGCCAAAGATAAGCCCAAGCGACAAAGAAGAATTCAGCGATTATCTACAACAGGTACATATCGCATCAGAGATCAATTCCCCTCGCAAATCCAATTATTGTTGCCTGGTTGGTTCAAAGCTAAATGGTCAGAAAAAATAATAAAGCTCCAGAGAGAGAAAGGAAAGGATGCCTTCCCTTCTTTCAATGATTTTGCTGAAACCATGAAGTATCATGCAGAAAGAATGAAGATTCCAGAAATCCTCCGTTCAGGTAGCTTAAGATAACCAACAAAACCATTTACACGTCGTCCTGGTGGCCGTAACTGAGGGATCGTCAACTTGACGTGATGAAAATGATGAAGAGCAGGCACAAGAAAACGAAAACCAAAGGTCGACCTACTGTTTCTACCACAAATACGCAACTAACGAATGTGAACAGCTTCGAAGGCTAAGTTTTAACGAGCGCAAGAATTTTTTAATGAAGAGTAGGCTGTGCGTAGAGTTCAATTGCGTAAACTCAAACCAGCACATCGTCAGAAGCTGTAAGGAAGGTAAACAAACCTGCAAGATTTGCCAAAACATGCAACGCATCCAACGGAACACGAACCCTCTCCAGGAACCGAGCAAACAATTAATGCATGTGCAAAAATATCTCGCCCAAACCGGACATCACGTTCCTGCGCCAAAATAGTACTCCTCCGAGTATTTCAAGAGTCCCAACATACGCCGTTTTGGACGATCAATCGACCGATGTCTTCCTTACGGATTCGCTCCTCAGTCAGTTGCAAGCAAAAGGACAGGATGTCAACTTGAAAATCAACACTATTTGGGGACAAATTCAGTCCGTACTAAGAAGGTAAATGGTTTACGCGTTCAAGATGCCGAGGGTCGTCATCATCCCATAAAGATTCCTCATGCCTATTCGCGAGAGAATGTCCCAGCAAGCCAGCTCGACATCGCAGGTCGGAATGTGCCATATGCATTTCAACCCCTACGCATGATCAATGGCAACGAGGAAGAGCCATGGGCTGAAGAATACAAGTTTGGATGGACGGTTATCGGCTGTGCCGGAAAAGACGGTGAATATACCCAAGATCGTGCCGCAGTGAACCGAGTCACAGTAACTGTGGAAGAACCTGAAACATTCCTCAGCATTCCATCGAGTAACAGCAACGTAGACAGATCGATCGCCTTTTTTGCTACTAATTGCCATAAGAAAGATGCCACCAGCCCGGAGCAACTCGAGGAAACGACGCAACTGGACTACACGGAGCTGCACTATAGTCGCACAGTTCGCGAAACCGAAGAAGTCGAATCAATCGAATCCCCATTAGTCGTAAGTAACGTCATTGTGTTCATATATTTGTAATTTGTCGTCTTATATATCGAGATTTTGTTATATTTTAATAGTAGTTTTATATGTATGTATTTTATAGTTTGACAAAATATTAAATCATCTTGAATTAATCGACGTGCTGACTTTTGGTCTCCTTGTTGCGCACAGTTACAGCGCCCTCTTTAAACAAAAAGCTGCGGCCGCTACAAATATCATAGGGGTGGACGTTGGCAAGTTTTCAAGTTGGAAATGAGACGCATTTCAATTCTTGTGGCTATCATTGCTACCGGAAATAGGCAGGCTGCTCAAATTTTCATGTTTAAAAACTGTGATGGGCAGATTTTAAATTTCTAGCAACAGGTTGGTTGGCATGTAGTATTGTCGTTGGCAGTATTAGCACGACAATTATGTTCACTAAAGCGTGCCAAATCTACTGCAGGAGACACCGTAGATGAGATTGGAGAACGTACATACATGCATGCATGCATGCATGCATGCATGCATGCAAAAGTAGTGCTTGATAGTAAATATAGATTTTACTGCTGAAATATTTGTTGAAGAATTTACGAAATCGCAGGTTTTAAGTTGGCCGACGCAACAAGGAATCGCTTCATTATATTTGGTGACGACGAACGAATTCTGTGAATGGTGGCCATGGACTGCGGTTGGATATTTTTGCCATGTCGAAAGTGACCGAAGGGGTTTTGGAGGAAATCAAAAAGTCTGACGTTGCCGGGTTGTTTTCCGTTCAGTATATCTGTTAATATTTGGAACATAAGATACATATGGTCTCCAAGTGTTTCAGATCGGGAAATACAGGAGACCTTCGAAAGGCCTATTATTGTACACGTCCTACAACGTTCCTACAACGTTTGTAATGGCGGCGTGCTGGTTAAAGCATGGCCGTGTCGTTACAATTTTTCTTGTTTTTTCTCTTATGTTTAATGATGTATATCAAAACACATTAAACCTTCAAGATAACAACGCCGGGATAAGCCTGGAAGGTTTTGTGGTTGCTGGAAAGTTATCTTCTCCTTCTGTGGCCATTCCCGAAGTTAAAACTCGAAGAAATTCTATCGCCATCGCTTCGCGGCCTTTGATTCCCGCAAGTCGAAAGTTAATGATGGGAGTGTACGTATTGAAGATTGCCTTATCGACAAATATTCTGCTCCTGAGTGGTGATATTGCTTTGAACCCGGGACCTGTGAACTCGAATGTAACTTTCTCGAGTAACGAATCTATGATGCCGGGCTCGGGAATTTCTGATAGCGAGAGGGACTATTCTATGGAGTACTTTAATCTTGGATTGGGCGATAAAGGTTTGCGTATTTAACACTGGAATGTCAATTACTTGACAACAGAAAAATTCGAACAGATAAAGCTATATTTACTCGGTAAGTCAAGCCCCGGCAAATCGCAACTGGATGTATTATTTCTAAGCGAAACATTTCTTAATCCAAGTGTGCCAGACTCATTATACACGGTAAATGGTTTTTCTATTTTCCGAAGAGAAAGGCTATTGAAAGGTGGCGGAGGGATTATGGTTTTTATAAGTAATGACTTGACAGTGAAACGCAGAACTGATCTAGAAAGTCATGATGCTGAAGCAATTTGGCTTGAGGTTTATCCATTTAAATCTAAAAGATCGATTATCTTGGGGAGTATTTATCGACCACCATCATCTAAACAAGCCGACGATATAAATATAGAAGCGAATATTGAAAGGATTCACTTGCTGAACAAAGAGATTATAATCGTTTCTGATATTAACATCGATTACAGAAGTAAGTCAAGTTACGAAAAACATGTGCTTGTAAAGGGACTTAAAAGTATGCATTTCAAACAACTTGTAGATTTTATTACACGCCCTGTCAGCAAGACATGTCTTGATCACTTATACTGTAATCAACCTCAAAAAATTAAATTGGTGACTAGTCACAATATTGGCCTCTCTGATCATTTGCCCGTTTTTGCTGTTCGAAAGTATGCTCGTCAAAATCCCAAGGGAGGAACCCACTCAAAAGGGTCTCGAATTACATACCGTGATATGAAGCGCCTTGATGAAAATCAGTTAAAAGAAACGCTGAAACAAGCCCCCTGGGACACTGCCTTTAGAAATGATGACATTGATGATGTTGTTAATGTTTGGGAACAAATACTAAACTGCGCTATTGATTCCCATTGTCCTTGGCGTGAAAAACACGTTAAACAAAATACTCAAGCACCGTGGATGACAAAAACAGTAATTAAACAGCTCCATATTCGGGATCACTTACTGAAGGTTGCAAGACGTACTCATAATTCGGATGACTGGGCAAATTACCGTGTGGCTGGAAATAAAGCTGTCTCAATTCTGAGGTCAGCCAAGCGAGAATTCTATAATAACTCGTTCGAGGAAAATAAGAATAATACAAGGGCCATCTGGAAATCAATAAAAACTTTGACAGGTGCAAAAAACAATACTAGGCAAATTAAAAATCTAAAAATTGATGGTTGTGAGGTGGATGATAAAACTGAAATGGCAGAACAATTCAACACCTATTTTTCTACAGCTGCAAAAAAAATAAGACGTCATCTCTCCACTGTCCCATTTGACCTGTTTAAATTAGTCAATTTTGTTAAATCACGGAAAAATGATCAGGAAGTTAATTTCTCTGTTCCAGTTATAACTATTTCTCAGGTCATTAAGACCATCATGAAGATTAATCCTCACAAAGCTTCGGGAATTGACAAAATCAGTGCCCGTCTTTTACGTATTGTTGCACCAGTTATTGCTCCAAGTATTACTCGAATAATCAATATGTCGCTCTCCACAGGCAAGTTTCCTTCGCGTTGAAAAACAGCCATGGTTACACCCTTATACAAGAAAGGTACTGAATGTGACCCGAGTAACTATCGCCCGATTTCGGTTTTGCCGATATTGTCCAAGGTCATCGAGCGTCATTTTCACGACTCACTATATGCTTTCCTCAACGAAAACAACCTTATCTACGCTAGACAATCTGGCTTTCGGAGAGGTCATAGTACTGAAACTGCACTTATTAAGATCATCGATGAACTCTTATTTAACCTGGACAACGATAAGGTATCCGGTATGGTACTGATTGACTACTGTAAAGCGTTTGATATGGTTGACCATGAACTTTTGTTAAAGAAATTAGAGGTCTATGGTATTGTTAACCACGAACTGCAATGGTGTCAGTCTTACTTACTAAACAGGAAGCAAGTTGTTCGTTTGGGTGGAAAAATGTCAAGTGAGGTAGTTATGAAATACGGGGTCCCTCAAGGCAGTATTCTGGGTCCGCTGTTCTTCATATTATTCATCAATGATTTACCACTACATGTAACTTCTCAAATTGATCTTTACGCAGATGACACTACTATTATAGACTCTTCCGACTTCAGCAATATATCAAATTTAGAACTTTCACTAAACAGTTCTGTTAGTGAAGTACAGCATTGGGCAAACGCAAATAAGCTTTCGATTAATGAGTCCAAGACCAAGGTTCTGCTGATTACGGGAAAAAGGCTTGCGCCCAGGACTGACGAGAAGCTGAACGTTACGCTTAATAATAAGATTCTTGATAGTGTCTACAGTGCACCCTTATTGGGTCTTGATATTGATAAGTTACTATCATTTGATGATCAGATCGAAAAAGTGTGCAAGAAACTAGCTTCTCGCATAGCCGTATTGAAGAAAATTCGGGTCTACTTGCCACTTAACCAACGCCTACAATATTACAATGCAATCATCCGGCCAGTTATGAGTTATGCCAGCACCATCTGGGGTACTTGCAATAAGATCTTACTGAACAGAATTTTAAAACTTCAGAAACGGGCTGTTAGAACTGTCATGTTTGCAGATCGCCAGGCACCTTCAGTAGCTCTATTTAATGAATTAGCATGGATTCCTTTTTACGAGCAATGTAAAATTGATAAATGTGCATTTTTTTATAAACGCATACATAACTAGAGGGCACTCAGAGACTGCATACCTCCGCCCGTTACTCGGAAGTGAAAGGCAACCTTGGAATTTCCTAAGAAATCCACTTTACAATTCTTAAGCATAAAAGATTTCAGGCCCCCGCGAATTGAAATCGAATTGCTAATAGAACATATTACTGTTGTTGTACTGTACAGTACTTGTAAAATAAAAACTTATTAAGTGTCATTAAATAAATGCATAAATTTTGCTTTATGCACTCGCGCGTGCAGTAATTTTCACAGTTGTGCTATTTTAAATTCCCAGGCAGCTAAAATCTTTTGTCTTTAAAACAATGTCGATTTCTTGGGAAATTCCGAGGTTGCGTTCTTTTTATACACCCTGTATTGAAGTAATCTAATGTTGTTAGAATTTGAATGGACTGGCACTTTGCTGAACGTAATAATGCGTAACTCCGTAAGCCTTGTTTTAGACATTGAATTTCGGTCGCGTGAAATGCAACTAAGACAATAGATAATGAAGGCCGAAGCTTAATGAGGTTTATCATCTCATTACTGTCTTAGCACTGAGTGCATAAATTATACACGTCCTAATTACGCATTCAGTAATATATTTTGTTAATTGACCGGGAAAAGCAAGACAAAATTTTGTTCATTTCTCGTTCAATTTTTAACCAAATTCAACCAAATTTTAATCAGTTCTTCCTTAGCCGATGGGAAATGCATTCAAAAAATTTCGCACGGATATGTTTGGTATTTCTTGAGTTATCGTGCTCACAGACAAACACACACATACACACACATACACACACACATACACACACACACACACACATACACACACATACAAACCCAGATGATTACATAACCTCCTGGCGGAGGTAACAAACCCAGATGATTACATAACCTCCTGGCGGAGGTAATAAGTAAACATTGTCAACACCGTATACTAATCCAGGTGATCTCGTGTTCGTATTTTAGCCAATCAGCGCTCAGAAAGGGTTGTCCGAATAGAAATCCATTTTGATGTATTCAATCAATTATATCTTTCATTATTCTTTATGAAACTAGTTGAAATTTTGTAATTATGTTTGGTTATGAGAACTATAGCTCTGACAAAAATATGGAATCGGAATAAAGTATATTACAGGAGATATTCAGTTGTTTTAATCATAAAATGGATTTCTATTTGGCAACTAGTGCCAGTACTTTTCCGCGTATCAAGGTCACCTGGATAATTGGCTAAAACGTACCATCTAGTATACTGATATACTCCTACTATACAATTAGCCATCTTATTTTAATGTATAAACCTTAAAAAATCTGAAAAATCTTGTGGATAGACGAACTTTCCTTTAAAAACCCTCACAATTGAATATATATTCGTTATTATATTTTGCACTATTCTTATGACACCATGAAATTATACTAAGTAAAAAAAGTTTTGTTATAACTAGGGGTCTTAAAATAAAAGCCCAAAAGTGTTTCTAAAAGATCTCTAACCCTACGTATATATAGATTATAAAAATGTAAATAGTTAAATTTATTGTACTTTGGAAAATTGGGCGAAATAAATTAATAATAATAATAATAAAAATAATTAATAATAATAAAAGGATGCTAACTTTGTTTGTTGTTGTATATGGAATCTCGCAAAGGCCAACACAACAGACCGCTGTGGGAGATCTGGCCTGATGTATCGCATTACTCGATATAGCATGCAGTATTTTATTATATATTTTATACCTCCACTTTATATTTCTGTTTATATCAATTCAGATCCAAAAATATATCGGCAATTTATTGGCATGTAACATGTCAAAGATCAGCTTTAGGCAAGCATCTTTCTTTTTTTCGTGAAAGGTAATTTTAGACGTCATCGATATCTATTGGGTCAGTAATCGGCGAACCAGTTACAAAAACTATCATTGAATAAATGAATGTTTTCCCTGTATTAGCATATATACTGTAACGAGAAATAACAGAAACACGCACAACAAATAATAATAATAATAATCCTGAGGATGACTATACAAACTAGTTGAAACGTCGATTAAAAATCAAAATGTTATTCGGAGTTATTGTTATTTTGTCTTTTCTCACAACCAATGTGCTGGCAATTAGTGATGTTGTAGATAACTTTACAAAAAAGATTGGCTACCGTACTTCTGTCATAAATCTATCATTAATCATATATACAGAAAATACAATTACTGTAGGTTATGAGCTATTATAGGATATCTTGCGATAGGGTTTACTGTATACTAAGTGTTCTTGTAACTTATATTCTAGCATACAATGTGCAGTGTATTGCTTTCAAACAATTTGCATTCTGTGTCGTGAAAACTAGGAAAGTATAAGGAAAATTAAAGGAATTGCTTCCAACTATGGGGGAATTGATATACGATGTTGTAAATTTGATTACATGTTACTGAATGTAGTAGTACTACTTATTACAATGTTTACCTTTCTACACTATGCCCACTGTAATATAGAAACTATAGAAACCCAGCATTTAACAATTATTCGCCGAAGGCGAGGTGATTATCGGAGCGAGACGAAGTCGAGGTGAATAACCCCAATAAACACCGAGCCTTTAGTATTTTTTACACAAATCTTTTGTGTTTTTGGGACATAATTTATTTTAATTTGGCTTATTTCTTTATCAGTAACTCAGGCAGATGTTATTTGGTCTCATGAAATATCTTCTCTGACCGTGAGATGCTTTTTCATTACTTCGCCAGCCTACTCTTCCTTAAAGTGCATATGACATGAAATTTCTTAGTTTCTTAAATGAAAGAACTCTTTAAGTTATAGTGTAACTTATTTTTCAGTTTCTTGTTTTTATGGTTTGTTCCCGAGATATTTCAATTTGTTTGATATGTAAATGAGTGCAAATATGTCCGCTAATTTATGACGTCATGTTCGTTGCAAGCTCTTCAAAATGGTTGGTTATCACTGCTATCATCCAAGATCATGATTTCAAACTTCACTCACTGATAAATGTGATGAAACACTGGAGAAAAACGTAAACTGAAACCAACAGTTTTTAGAGTTAATACATATATAACCAGAGTAAGTTGAGCTTGCAACCAACATGACGTCATAAATTAGCGGACATATTCACGCTCATTTACATATCAAACAAATTGAAATATCTCGTGAACAAACCATAAAAACAAGAAACTCAAAAATAAATTACACTACAACTTAAAGAGTTCTTTCATTTTAGAAAATAAGAAATTTCATGTCATATGCCCCTTAATCATCCATGTCAACAGTTGTTTGTTCAAGCGATTCTTTACTAATGTTATACTGTGGTCGTCGGCGATCACCTCTGCAAGTTTTTGATGTTTGATTACTATGGTCATCTGGCTTCACATGATCACTACTCCATAAAAATAATAAATTCTTGACCTCAGAAATTTTTGACAAAACGGTCGAGTTAACCACTTTGGTCTGCATACACAGAGAAAGAATGTTTCAATAAACTATATTTGAAAAATGATATAATCGAGTTTATCATCCCTCACAAAACCATTTAATTTTCTGTATATATCTTGCAGCATGCTCAATATTTTGACACTTATTGATCCTATCGCTTCCTTTGACGCCATGCATTTTGTATCGGTTTAATCAACTTCAACGTTGATGCCTACATGAAGTAGCAAGGCTTATTGGATATTATGTGCGCAAGTGTGTAACTGGGCATATGTGACTGAGCATGTGTAATTGTGCAGGTGTGTAACTGCGCATGTGCAACTGACAACGTGTAAGAGTATAGTTGTCACAATTGTGATGTTCAAGTGACATAATACCAACTGCATACATAACAATCTTGTTGATAGCTATATAGTTTCTGCATGCATGCGAACTGAGACTCTCTCAAGCGAT